TGCTGTCTACGTTAAGCAATGTGAAATGAACTGCCTCCACCCAAGCTGGTGAGGCTGAGCTCAGAGGGCTTAAGAGGTCCCACGTGTTGTACACTGGGAGGAGCTCTGAGAGCGCGGGTGGTGGGGGGGGAGGAGAGAAACTGACCCCTGAGGGTCTCTCAGATTTCCTGCTGGAGCCTGTGTGCTAAGTCCTCACATTCCTGTGGGGCACTCAGAGTCCCCCAACCTGATACCAGTCAGGCTGCTGTTCTGGGCACATCCTCGGACACACACAGATGCACACAATCCTGGGCCCAGGCAGCGGTGGCAAGGTCAGCATCCCAGGCTCAGATTGGGTCTGTGCCAGGCATTGAGGGACAGCCCAGTCTCCCAGCCCGGGCCTCCACATGGATGGAAAACGGGAAGTGGAGTGTCCCCTAAGACCAGTTGGCGTGATTTGCTGCCCTCTCCCGATGCTGCACTGCCCTGGTTCCCTCCACATGCGCGTGCATGTGCAGGGTCTTTGCTTCTAGACAGTAATCGCTTGGCATCCCTTTTTCCACAGCCCTTTTGTGCTGGCTGGCTTTTGGGTGGTCATTTCCCCTGCCCCTCCCTGCCCGCCTGGCCTCCATTTCTCCAGCTGTGCAAACAAGGTGGGGCCCTGGCTCTGGCTCCAAGGCTTGCCCTGAGGATGGGGTGGGGGATTCTGGGGTCCAGAAGGTATTCTGTCTCCCTGACATCCTCCATTCTCAATCAATCCTCCAAGGGGGTCAGGAGCGAAGGAGACAGTTCTGGTGCTGAGGAGATCGGACCCCTTCACGTTCAAGCTCAAACTCAGCATCTAGAAGGGAGATGAGGTAGGGAGAGGGATTCCCTCTAGAGTTCCCACCTCAGAGGTGCTGGGCCCCTTCGAGCTGCACACCCATCTCTGGAGCGAGCGGGGGTGGGGTAAAGAGGTGAGGTTGCTAAATTCCAGTGTTTGGCCAAGTCTGTCACCTCCCATGGCAGAGGCCCCACCTCGCCAAATTTTTCTTGGGGCCCAAATACTTACTTCCTGTTCCTCTGGAATGGGAGGGGGGAAACAGGGGGCCTCTTTTGGGAGAGTCTTCACTGCTAATGGCTATGGCAGACCCTGGCTGGAAACCTGATCCGTGTAAGGAGCCATTCCCCCCACCCCCATGGCAGTCAGGCGTTTTAGTCAAACCTGGCTCAGAAATTGGGCTGGGGGCTGCTGCAGAGTCTGGCTGCCTTGAATGCTCTTGTGTGTCTCTCTCCCCACCCCCACCTCCACACACCGGAAAGCTCTCATCAGGGAGAAATCTTTTGAAAAACATCTCCTGCCTTCTGAGCTATAAGAGGCCTGGAAGATGCTACGCCGCCTTGGCGGCAGGAGAAGATGAACCACTGGGAGTGCCAACCTCTGACTCTAACCCCCTGTTACCTTGCAAACGTGTGCAGTCAGTCACCAGGCAGGTGATGCCCTTCACCAGGCCAGGATTG